CCCCCCCCCCCCCCCCCCCCCCGGCCATGGGTTGTTACTGGTCAGTAATTAAGAACTAAACCATGAAATTAAATTTTATGTGATAAAATAATAAGCAAACCTTTCATGGAAAGTTCCATGGCACCAGATTATAGTACTTGTTGTTATTATTTAACAGATGTTAGAACAGTACTGACGGCTGTTCAGGTGAGGGAGGTCTGTTTGAATTCAATGTTAGTTTTTTCCCCAAAAATACTGCTGTTACTTTGTCAGAACGGATTAGAAAATTTGCACTTATGTTTTTTTTTAATGCAACAGCATTATCTGGTAACAATACAATGTGTAGTTTCAGATTATCATATTGGATAAGAAAAAAATCCCTTGTGTACTGAACCAGCTAATGGATAAGCTGACTAGTGTACCAGTCTATAGTTATTAATATTGTAAGTGTGGAGAAAGAGGGGATTAAAAAATTACCCACTAAACATGAAGCATTTGTAACCACCCTGTATATATAAACTACAGTACAGTGTTGCTTTGGTTAATGATTTTGTAATTTTCATGCTCTATTTCAGTGTTGCTAACTGTCAGCTCCAGTGACAGTACCGTGAGTGTCTGGCACTGTACAGAAGTAATAGTCAGAGATATTGGACAGTGTGCAGGAGCAATTACCGTAGGAAGAATGTGGCCAGACCAGTGAATGAGTCACAGTATTGATGGTGGAATTGATGTCTGAGAAAGCTTGTTGCTGTTGGCTGGAAAGTAAAGCGACCAGACGACAGGGATAGTTTACAATATGGGTAGGTAACACCAAGTAGACATTGGTTTGATGACCAAGCCAAACTAAGGTTACTTGTTTTCTTGTTTATTTATTTGTTTGTATTGTGTAATTATTTTAAGACAGCAAGCAAATAAAATGCAGCTCTATTGAACCAGCAACACAGGATACGGTATGATAAGTACATTCTTCTGATGGAAGAGAGTAAAATGGTTTTGATGGAAAGATCAATACATAGAGAACCACCAGCAGTAAGATTTAATAATAAAGGAATTATTACACACTCTGTGTCNAAAAAGTTTTCCAAACCTATTTCATCATATTTACCTCATGTAGAAAGTCTTACAGCACACAACATATTTCAATCACAGTGGTGGCAGGCTGGACAATTGAGATCAACTAGTGACCTGGAAGTGGTAGATAATGAAAGCCATGTGGTGTAATGTTTCACCAGAGACAGCATATCCTACACTGTAGCACAGTGGCTGCTATAGTAAGCCTTACTCCAACACATGAAAGTTTTGCTTGCTTAGAGCTAAATTAATGTCTAATGCCCTTGTCAGTTTATCAGAGAATATTTTCAAAGAAATAATTAGGTTCTTGGTCCCAACATTGCAGTGAATACAGGTGAGAGAAATATATGGCAGTGCTTGTATAAAACTGAAGTTGTTAAGGTAGTCACTGTACTAGTGTCATGAGTGATGAATGCCAGTGTAAGGGGGTCTGATACATTTTTAAGGCCTAGATTTAGTAAAATAGCTTTCCCTTATTTCTTATAAGTAAAATACTTATATTTAAGGTGTACTGAATGAGTCCTTAATTGTTTGAACATTTTCCACAATCATATTTTCTGTGTCTATATTAAGATATATCCTGCTAAGCCCTTTATTAATGTTTTCCAATTTTGACCTTAAAAGCTATAAAACCTCCAAAATATAAGTACCTGACAATGTTAGTTCCTTCTCATTATAAATGAAGACGCTGTTCAAAATGACTCGGGGCCAAGACTTTTAAAAGGGAGGATCTTTCTTAGAAAGAGTGGACCATTTATAACGAAATCTTTCTGTACCTAGATAAGTTTTACCCAGGATGGACCTTTTCTTGGAAAAAAGGATGATTCTTTCAACCTCCCTCCCCCCCCCCCCCTTTGACCATGGGCCTGTGACTGGTCAGTAATTAAGAACTAAACCATGAAATTAAATCTTAAGTGGTAAAATAAAAAGCAAACCTTTCATGGAAAGTTCCATGGCACTAGATTGTAGTACTTATTGTGATAATTTAACAGGTATTAGAACAGTACTGACGGCTGTTCAGGTGAGGGAGATCTGTTTGAATTCAATATTAGTTTTTTTCCCCCCAAAATGTTGCTGTTACTTTATCAGAACAGATTAGAAAATTTGCACTCATGTTTTTTTTAATGCAATATCATTATCTGGTAACAATACAATGTGTAATTTCAGATTATCAAATTGGATAAGAAAAAAATCCCTAACATACTGAACCAGCTAATGGATAAGTCAACTAGTGTACTAGTCTATATAGTTATTAATATTGTAAGTGTGGAGAAAAAGGGGATTAAAAAATTACCCACTAAACATGGAGCATTTGTTACCACCCTGTATATATAAACTACAGTACAGTGTTGCTTTGGTTAATAGTTTTGTAATTTTCATGCTCTATTTCAGTGTTGCTAACTGTCAGCTCCAGTGACAGTACCGTGAGTGTCTGGCACTGTGCAGAAGTAATAGTCAGAGGTATCGGACAGTGTGCAGGAGCAATTACCATAGGAAGAATGTGGCCAGACCAGTGAATGAGTCACAGTATTGATGGTGGAATTGATGTCTGAGCAAGCTTGTTGCTGTTGGCTGGAAAGTAAAGCAACCAGACGACAGGGATAGTTTACAAAATGGGTAGGTAACACCAAGTAGACATTGGTTTGATGACCAAGCCAAACTAATGTTACCTGTTTTCTTATTTATTTGTTTGTTTATTTGTGTGATTATTTCAAGACAGCAAGCAGATAAAATGCAGCTCTATTGAACCAGCAATACAGGATACGGTATGATAAGTACATTCTTCTGATGGAAGAGAGAAAAATGGTTTTGATGGAAAGATCAATACATAGAGAACCACCAGCAGTAAGATTTAATAATAATGGAATTATTACACACTCAATGGGAGCATTCACATCGAGAAGAGCCGATGTCTAGTAAGGCCGAGACCTAAATATGACGGACCTACATTAAAGGGAAACCCCTTAATCTATTAATAGTCTCTCCGCCTCTCACACGCCCCCCCACATGTCGTCCCTGCAGGTGCACGGTACCTAATTAAATCGCAGCTCAATTCAACCAGTCGAGGAACAACGGGTGGGGAGCCGTGTGAGAGGGAGAGAGACCACTTCAGGATTAAAAAGTCTTCCTTTCATGTAGGTCCACCATATTTAGGTCGCGCCCTTATTAGACCCTGGCTCTTCTTGATGTGAATGCTCCCAATGTCCCTAGCCCTGCCTGGCCTTGGATCTGTAGATCTGTGTGTGACACAGGCAGGTGCTGGAGCCGTGGGGAATAGATGACTTTTCATTATAAGGATCAAATTAGTCTAGAACACAGCCTAGATTTAAATGTTGCCTTTTTATTTCAGAAACAAGAATGGTTTTTTACTCTATATAGTGTGTTGTAAGGACAATAATATTATGTCAGCATCTAATTGCTGTTATTAATACAAAGTTTATGCCAGTGGCAACTACAGAATAAGTATATCTGTGTATTTGATACCTATTCCATCCAGTGGTAACTACAGAATAAGTTTATCTTTGTATTTGATACCTATTCCAGCCAGTGGCAACTACAGAATAAGTTTATCTTTGTATTTGATACCTATTCCAGCCAGTGGCAACTACAGAATAAGTTTATCTGTGTATTTGATACCTATTCCAGCCAGTGGCAACTACAGAATAAGTTTATCTGTGTATTTGATACCTATTCCAGCCAGTGGCAACTACAGAATAAGTTTATCTTTGTATTTGATACCTATTCCAGCCAGTGGCAACTACAGAATAAGTATATCTTTGTATTTGATACCTATTCCAGCCAGTAGCAACTACAGAATAAGACAGAAAGAGAAAACCAAGGCAGGGTCTGAGGTGTTCCCAACCAAGGAGGATATCATGTCCACTTTGGAGCAGTTTGGAGAGAAGAATAACTCTGGTAAATCAAGCATTTTGACATTATTGATATTAGATTATGTATAGATTACTAGTGGTTGTTGAACCAGATGATTGCTATTAGAAAAGTTGAGGTAGACCAGCTTTCACTCCAAACTTCTATCTGTGAACCATTCTTTCCAGTAACACTGAGCTGATAACAAGATATACACAAGTGTCCTTCCATTTATTTTGAAGATGACGTCTGACTGACTTAGTCTATTCAAACAAACATATGAAATGAAGTTAATAAAATCAATTCTCTTCATAGATGATAATTATTTAGCACAAGCTAAAAATAGTCTTTATACTATAAGGTTTTAATATGAAGAGTATTTTCAGCTTGTACTAAATAATTACCATCTATGATCCAAATACCAACCTTAGGAACATTTTTGCTCATTAATTGTGTTGTATTGTTCACATTTAGCTTACTTAATGAGAACCTCCATATAGACAGCTATATATTACAGTATTTGTGTCATTATTAACTTCCACTTCATCCTATATCTCAGAGTGTGCCCCGCCCACTGATAGCACCCCCAGTACCCCAGGGAGACTAGACTACAGCAGCTATGAGCAGATAGACACACCTAATACTGGCTCTAGTATCACTAATTCCTACTGGTAAGTATAGTCCTAAACCAGCTATGAACAGATAGACACACCCAATACTGGCTCTAGTATCACTAATTCCTACTGGTAGGTATAGCCCTAAACCAGTAGCCTGCTAACCTGTGGAAAGACCGTTTGCTTGACCAGAACACTGAGAAGTTTTCTACACATTAATAGAATCCATCTGTAATCATAATGTAGGCAGCATTGACAGAGTTATTATCTAAAATTAGGTCACCTTGACCCATATTTCAACTAGAAGTAGGTCATACTGACCAAAAAATGTTAATTTGACCCTGTTGACCCATTTCTGCTTTGTTTCCAGTTCTGAGTGGGAGAGGCTATTTGAGCGTCCAGATTACATGAAGATAGTCAGGCGGCTGGGAGTGGAGGGGCACCTGAGGAGTACACGATTTAGGAGTGTCATTTGGAAGGTTTATGCAGCCCCCCTCCCCCCTCCCCCTTGTAGTCTTCCCTCAAACTCTTCCTTCCCCAAAATGAAAGTAAAAGAATATTTAATGCGGAACTCGCTTTTGATTTTTGACAAATATTTTGTTTAGAAAACAAATTCTTTGTTGTACATTAATATTATTCTCAACAGTGTAATTCATATTATTTTTGCACAAGGAAATGTCCTTGATAGTGCATCAATTTTTAGAAAAACTGGTACGTGGCAGAGGTGAATATTATACATCTATACACAATGAAAATTTTGCATTACATATTCATTGTATCCATGTCTCACCTTGTCACCTTGTAGCTGTACCTGGAGGTACTTCCAGAAGACCAGGATCAGTGGATAGAGAAGACAAGACAGAAGAGACAGGAGTATGAGGACCTCAAAGACAAGGTGAGATGGTAGAATGAAAAGATTGGGGTGAAATCATATCATGAAGTTGTGCTCTGAAACAGACTCCTTTAGAAAAGCTATAGTTCATTTTGTTATATTTACAAACATTTATCTAAAATTATTTACTAGAATACAAATGCTTTATGATAAATTACCCATTAGACATCTCTGATCAGAATATCTTGTGTTCATGTTTCATAAGTTGATCACCAACCCGCGGCAAGGTCAAGCAGAGGACCTGAGTGTGAACAACCCACTGTCACAGGCTGAGGAGGTATGTAGGTTCAAGGTCCTAGGTCTTAGTCACTGTGACCTGAGTTTGAACAACCCACTGTCACAGGCTGAGGAGGTATGTAGGTTCAAGGTCCTAGGTCTTAGTCACTGTGACCTGAGTGTGAACAACCCACTGTCACAGGCTGAGGAGGTATGTAGGTCCTAGGTCATAGGTCTTAGTCACTTGAATGTTAAAAGTCAGCTGAATGTAACAGGTCTAATATGGAAAGTGTGTTTTCAGATTATTAAAGAAGAATTGAAGTCTCATAAAAAAATCAGCATAGAAACAGTATCAGTTCAATTGTTTTTAACAAAAAGTGTTAAAAAAAGATTAAAATTTTTAAAATGTCTTGGTAAGATAACTTTATTTAATGATTGAAGTTGAAATGAGATTTGTTTTTACATTTCAGAGTCCATGGAACCAATTTTTTCTGGACAACGAACTGAGACTGACGATCAAACAAGATGTTATTAGAACGTAAGTTGTATTTCTGGATTATGGAAGGAATGTATATCTTTTATTGTACGGAACTTTTGTGTAAAATTTCTTGACTTTTTATCAGTGATGTTTATTTTTTCATTGGGGGTTATTTTGGGTTGATAGGATGTGCCTGCAAAATGATTTCCCAGAGATTTGAATGCATCCATTTCAGGTCACAGCATTCGTGTATTGCCAGTTGGTGGCCATAGTGTGGTCTGAAAGATATTCTCTCTTAATTGATAGCTGCAGTATGGTATTCCACAGCAGGGAGCATTTCTATCTAACTGATGTCTGGATTATCTTATCATTGCAGTTACCCAAGAATAGAATTTTTCCACTCCAACAAAGTCAGGAACATGATGGTGGACGGGTTGTTTATATATGCCAAGATCAAGCCAGATGTGTCTTATAGACAGGTTATTCTCTATTGTCATGTGTATTTGTCCTCTGGCTGCACACACTTAACTAGTCCAGCTTCTCACCAACCTTCTTGAAACAACAGTCTATTTGGTGAACAGTAATATCTCTGGTTCATGCTAGCAGTTCATAAGCTCACTGCACTTCTGGGATTTCAAATTTAATTAACCAGTTTGTTCAGTCTTATTTTGTCCATGTCAAAACATTCCTTTGAGAAGCTGGGTTATTTCAGGTTTGACAGACGATGTCCTCATTGTTAGATGCTGCTGTCACTTGGCAGATATCTCTCAGTTTCTACCTCACTTGGCATGATGCATGTTAGAGATATGTTGTAATGTGCCATATTATTATAATATCTTCTCCCTCTCTGTTTTTATTAGATCTAATTTCCTTTCAGACTCAAGTTGTTGGTATTAATTTTATGATTTATTTTTTCAGTTCCACTTGGGACTATCCTTTCGAAGTGCTTTCTGTTATGTTTTCAAGTCTTTGTGTATATATTATAGAACCCTTAGTTTGTTGCATGTCTTCATTACTGTATGGATAGGCTCTTGACAAGTGTTTGTGGTAGTCTTTGTCCACCAGTGTAGTACAGTGTAGCTTCCAGCAGTGGAGGGGAGGTTTAAATAGATGATTCCATTCTAAAACTATGTAATAATTGTAACATTCTAAAACATAGAACATTATATGCATTTTTATTTGAATTATTGATCTATCATATGTTTTAGAACCCCATATGTGTCTGTGTATAATTTTATTCTTGTGTTTCATAGAAGTATGCTTTAACTTCACCTGTCACTTTGTATGAAAAGAGGACCTAAATTCATCAAAATTTTGCACTGCAGTTTATTTCAGTTGTTTCATTGGATTTCCTTTCTCCCTTATTTATATTATACAAGGTCCATTCACACTAGGTCACTTAAGACCGAGGCTTGGAATAACTTGCCCAGTAACTGGGCGAGTTCTCTTTGTACGTCAGTATGGATAACAGGGAGAGCCCACTCTACCTCTGACATGAAGACCCTGGGTTGGTCAAGCCAGTTGTCTGGTGTAAGATAGTAACATTACCAATCCATATTTGGCCTTGTCTGAATGGACCTGTAGATTCATTTGTTGTTGTTGTCTGCAGTGGTATTTTCATTGTTTTAGTTTTCCTGAGCTGGAATTTTTCCAGCATGACAAGCACGGTGTTCAACCTATGATGGTCAAGATTTTGTTTTGTTTTGCCCGTGCCACAGACTCTAAATACAAGCAGGTTTGTGTTTCAGTTCCATTGGATAACAACAGTAAGTCAGTAACTTGCAATTAAAGTGAGTCCTTAGGTAAGCACAATAGGTCATTATAGACAATTGGCCCTCGTTTGTTAAACATTCATTTAACCATTTTAAGCTCTAAAATTTCCAATGAATTCTGTGTAAGAAATGACTTTTGGAAGCTGTGCCTGTAGCCGTGGGTGGGATGTCATGTCATTTTATCTGAGACTGGGTTCCCTTATGTAGATCAATCTAATGGGATCGATTCATCTCCGAGGGTTTTCTTGCTAAATTGCTTTTAGCTTAAGCAGCTTAGATGTCTGGCATGCCTACTGAAGCTGGTAAATGATAATTAATCCCCCCCCCCCCCCACAGCTTCATTAGACGTGACAGACATCTAAGCTGCTTAAGTTGATTGCAATTTAGCTAGAATCTCCAGTTAGTAGGATAGGGTCCAGGTACGGTCCCTTAATCTGGACTTAAAGCAATTGAGCGGTGATAGTTGCCTATATTGATTTTTATCTCCATCTGTAAGATCTATATTTATCATAGGTGGTTATTGTGTTACGTTATAGAAATAAGGAGGATTTCATGAGAGCAGAAAGAAATTTTGAAGACAGCATAAAAGTCAGGCTCTTAACTAGTCTGTGATTTCCTCTTTGTTCTAGTTTCATACAAACTGTGTTAGAGCAGCACTTGTGCTTAGTTTCTATGTAAAAACCTGACCAGTGCCATTTTGTCTCTACTTTATACTGAAATAAAGTGTGTGTCTTAAATATTTTAAAATGATAGTTATCATAATGATATTTGCTTAAAATCTAAAAAAAAAAAAAAAGAAACCTTCAGTATCAAAACATAGGATTTATATGGAAACAAAATGGCACTGATTTTCTTCATGTTGTGTCCCTGTCTGCTTGCTGTCATCAGCTTTCCTTATTATCTTGATTTGTATTTACTTTATTTATTATCAACATCTAGATATGTAACTATTATAACTATTGTTAATAGCATTTACGAGTTATCCACATAATTAAGAAGCATCAAACATGACAGAATATAGGGTTTAGATTTTCAGAGGACACCTCAGAATCTTATAGTTTTCACATTCTCTGGGACTTTATACATAGAATGTCAAAAGATGATACTTTGGTTATAATTACTGCTTAGAGTAGCATTTATAAATTTTGACAAACAGTTGGGAGACAAATATGAACACAACTTATTTTTGCCTAATTAATCATGAACTATCTGAACTGTTGAAATTTGACAGAAGGGAAAAATAGACAGTCATGGTTAGTTTGCCTTCCATGTTCATACAAGACATCTCAACAACCCAGCCACTTATCTGTGAATGTTATATTTCAGGGAATGCATGAACTTCTGGCACCTCTGATATTTGTGCTCCACTGTGATCACCAGGCTTTCCTTCACGCCACTGAGATGGAATCAGTAGAGTAAGTAGACACTAGTATTATCAAACAAATAGAGCTCAGCACTTCCTTCATGTCACCAAGATGGAATCAGTAGAGTAAGTAGACACTAGTATTATCAAACAAATAGAGCTCAGTGCTTCCTTCATGTCAGGGAGATGATGTCAATAGAGTAAGTAGACACTAGTATTATCAAACAAATAGAGCTCAGTACTTCCTTCATGTCAGGGAGATGAAGTCAGTAGAGTAAGTAGACACAAGGATTAAACAAGCAAACAGAGAATAGTTCCCAGTGAGAGTAAATAAGACCTCTTGAAGAATGGTAAGCCTGTAATTGGACAGTTCCAGTGCCCTGTTCTGTACAGTATGTGTGTGTGTATTTAATGGTGCTATGACCATTCACTATTGTGGTTGATTTGGCATGATTTCTGATATTTGAGCCAGTTTTTAAGATTTTAATTTATGAGATATTTTCAGAACCAACTCTTTTTAATCTTAAAAAACGGTAATGATTATTTTATGTAATTGTTTTGTAACTATCTTTTTATTGCAGTCAGTTTCCTGATGATCAAAGGTTTGAGAATTTTTTTTTTTTATTCTGTTAAATGACCACATCAGCACCCGCATCTCCTCACTGCCTGTATACTAACAGCAGTTAACATGTCTCCTTGAAGATTTTTTTTTAAACATTTCTCTTTCAACAGAATTAAGTTTGCCATGTGTTGTGCTGCAATGCTTATTCTGTACTAACCATTTCTTAGTTTTCATTAAGAAGACTTGATATAATTTATAATACCTCAACTATAATTAATCATTGAAGTCTTGGGTTGAATTTTGATTAATTGCTTTTTGCCTTGAAATCTTTTTTGTTGTTCACTTCTACTAACCAGTTTCTATGTTTTCTTAAGTGGATATTGTTTATTAACTATTTCAACATTAATATTTAATATCCCACTCCTGTCATTTCAGTCCACACTGTAACATTATAGCAATCACTCCTGGTCTTAATAAGCTTTATCAGTTTATCATCTTTTTTCTTTGTTAAAAAAATGCTAACATAGAGGACAAAAGGAATGAATTTATATGTACAATTTATCCCTGAATTTTGCATATTCATCTATATGTTAAAGTACATCAGTCAAGTGACGTGGTTAATCTGGTTCACATCTTAGAGTGGTTTGCTATACTGACCACCTGTGCATAATGGTTTCAGGGGCATGCAGGCTTGTATTGCTGCATGCTGCCATCTATAATATTGTCACAATAAAAAAGTGTGCTCTGACCAGAACTTTTCTGATGACAATAACATCTATGAGCCTTTCCGCTTGGCCTCAGAACCTGCTTATCTGAGTCAGTCTGGTTAACAGAAGTTTGCCTGTTTTTCACAGTCTCAGGTCAGTCTTGTCTGAACAGAACAAAAGAGCAGTGTAAAACATTGTCGTGTAATGTGTTACCATGGTGCAGTATGACACAGGACTCGCTTAAGTTACTTAAGTTTCAGAAAGAAATTTAGACTGCAGTTTATAATAACATTTGGTCATAATTAACATTAACAAAATCTACTTTCTCTTTCAGAGACATAGTGAAAGAGTTACTCGACCCACGCTACATTGAACATGATGCATAGTAAGTAAATATAAATATATGTAAACCTCCCTAGCTCTGTATTTTACCTTAAAGTTATGTCTGTTGTAATACTGATATGCTGGAAAGAGCCTACAGATCTGACTATATATGTATATATATATGTATTGAAATTGTGCCTTTGAAATTCTTTCATGAACATTGTTATCTTGTAAAAATCAAAGTCTTGTGAAAAAGTTATTTTTATAAAGTTTTTGTTTATGGAAGTATCTTTTATTTATTTATGAATTGTCTTACAGCACAATGTTCTGTCAGATAATGGAGACTGTGGAACCATGGTATATTTCCAAAGAAATTTACCCAAACAAGGTATAAAAACATTTTCCTGCTTTTATATGCAAAGTAGGCTTGCTTTAGTCTGGTTAAAGTAGGCTCAATTTTGGATAAAATCCCTACAACTTCTCCTTAACCTCATCCTTGTGTGAAATTTTAACCGAATGCTCAACTTGATCTTTATACAATGAACAAAAATGTGAGATGTGTTACTGTTTTTAACCATTTTTATAGGTTTAGTTGACTGTTTTAGTCTGGTCAAATAACATAAATAATATATTTGGCTAAAAATTGATAATTTGGTGAAAAAGGCATTTCATCTTGGGATGAGGCTTGAATACGATATATCACAAATACTTTTCAGTTAGGTAAGTTTAATAAACATTACCAAATACTTCATTCTTTTTCAAAACCTATAATTTCCTTGTTCTTCACATTTTGGTAAATCACAAAAACACCTCTGAAAATGAACTCGACTCACTTTTAAACCATTCTTTGGGGAAATAAGATTTATCATTTTTTCTGACTTGGAAATTTTGGAATAATAACCATATCACATCTTAATTTGTTCCCAGAAGCAAGGAATCATTCATGCCCAGCCATTTGTGAAGCTACAGGATCTGCCGTCTAACGTCATCGTGAACAAACTGATCCGTATCCAGGACTACATCTTGAAGAAGTATGACATTGAGTTGCACATGCATCTGGAGAGACTGGAGATTGCGCCGCAGATCTACGGAATGTAAGTGAGAGAGAGAGAGAGAGAGAGAGAGAGAGGTGGGGGGAGAGAAAGAGAGAGAGAGGTGGGGAGAGAAAAAGAGAGAGAGGGGGGGAGAGAGGATGGATAGAGATATCATCACAGTTCAATAGAATTTATTTAAATGATATCACCTTTTGTTTTCAGACGCTGGGTTCGACTTTTATTTGGCAGGGAGTTCCCGATGCAGGACCTGCTGGTATTATGGGATGCAATATTTGCTGATGGGATTTCCTTTGACCTGGTGGACTATGTGTTTGTGTCCATGTTACTGTACATCAGAGACTTGTGTGAGTACATGTTATTGTACATCAGAGACTTGTGTGAGTACATGTTATTGTACATCAGAGACTTGTGTGAGTACAAGTTATTGTACATCAGAGACTTGTGTGAGTACATGTTATTGTACATCAGAGACTTGTGTGAGTACATGTTACTGTACATCAGAGACTTGTGTGAGTACATATTTGATTGATGACCTACTCTTCAGAATGCACATGAAAAAAGCAAGCTGTTTAAACAGAAGTCCTCCTTTATGGTATATACTGTTTTTATGTTTTTAATGGAGACTGATGTGTGTTCTTTTTTAATTCCACAAGTTGAGAACCTTATTTTCAGATCATTCTAGTTCACATCAGTGAGATTTCTCTCTTTATATTCTTTGTAGTGTTAACAGGAGACTATGTAACCTGCCTGACCAATCTGATGTTATATTTCTCTCTTTATATTGTATAGTGTTGACAGGAGACTATGTAACCTGTCTGACCAGTCTAATGAAGTACCCACCTGTAGGTGACATCAACTACATGATAGAAAAGGCTTTATACCTGAGGGAACCAAATGTAAGTGTGAGGGGGGGGGGGGGTATCTATCTGTTTTCACTGCTGCTTTTCTCTCTGTCTACATATCTTTGTGTATCCAATCTGCCCATATGTGTCTTTACATCTTTGAAAATTTATATGCGTGCTGAAACATTGACAAATTGAATTGAACTCTCTCTCTCTCTCTCTCTTATTTAAATTCAAATTAATTTCACCACCTTGCCATCATTTGCTGTTATTGTCCACATACAGGACAGACCTAAACCTCCAAACTACACATACCAAATACCCAATGCAGCCAAGAAGAGGAGAGATCAAAACAAAAGTAAGTGTACAAATTCAGATTAAAGCATTTCTCTTTAAAAGATTTCAGCTACATTTGTTTAGTATACATGCATGTTATACTTTTATTAAATAATGTGTAAATAAAAACTGTTGTCTTTTATTCCTTTTCACATAGGCAATATTTGAAAGATGCATTGAGAACTTTAAAAAATTAGAATAGATGAGAAAAACTTAGCCCCAGTAACATATTTTGCTATCAGCATTCAAGCAAACAGTGAAAGTTCTATAGTAAAATTAAGCTTTACATTTGACTGATATTTTAGTAACAGCCAGTAATTTAGCTGAGAAGATTAAGTCAAGCTTTAATGCTTCAAGTTTTGCTACGCTGACTAGACGAGGAGGAAGCAATCGACCACAGACTATTTCAACGAATCAAAAGATCTCCAAGTCATCTAGTGAACCAATGAACCTTGTGACAGACAAATCACCAGGTATAGATGTCAGCTGTTGCTTGTCATGGATTGACACTAGATGGCAGCATTGAATTATATTATAGGTGGAACCACTGTTCCCAGTAGCTGCCATGTCATACCCAGATCCATTTCTAATTCACCATACATCTGTGAAGTAAATATAATAATTTTAAGTAAAAAGTATTTTCTAAGTAAATAACCTTTTTAATTAGTATTGTGTTAAAGTTTTGATATTTCTGTATGAGTAATGAAATATAATGAATCTTGAACAGTAAGATTCCTGGAATAAGTATTGCAGTTGATTTGTGACAGTCATATTGACATTGTATAAATTACACCACTACAGATCACCCTCACAAACCTGTCTTCCCTTTCCTCACAGATAAAGAGAAGGCTCCCAGTGTACCGGGCAGTAAGAAGACAGGCTCCACTGCCAGTCTATCCAAGATAGAACAGATGACCAGTGGCCTGGACTCTACCAGTGTGGACAACACCCCCTCAGAGAGTAGCAGTAACAGCATGGCACGACTGGAGACAACATCCAGCACTGGTCAGCAGTCCAGTGGAGCAGTTAGTGGGGGAAGAGTAGAGCAGTTTGAGGCAGTCAACAGCAAGGGTCAGCCTATCAGACCACCGGGTACACCTCCCACCAGACACAAGGGGAAGAAGTTTGCACCATCTGTAATGGTACGTTACAGCACAGGGCAAGAAGGGGGGGGGATAATCATACTAGCCTAACTTTCTATTTCATCAGAATGATTATTGTATGACAAAATCAGTTGTAAATTAATTGTGCAAAGAAGTAGTGAGGTATTAATAAGAAAAATGAAACTTTTCAAAAAATTACTGAGGTGTTCAGTTTATTTAGTTAACTTGCTGCCTTTAAATGTCTGTCCTAGGAGTCTGAGCTGAGTCATAAACTGGCATATGCCCAGGGCCAAGTCAATGATATGGAGGCCATGGCCAGATACTGTGCCAGTAAGATGGATATACACATAGGTAAGTGATGTATACATATGGAAGTCAGATACTGTGCCAGTAAGATGGATATACACATAGGTAGGGAATCCTTGATGTTTATGTTGAGTTGGTTGTGTGTGTGTGTGTATGTGTGGGAGTGCGTGTGTGTGGGCGTGTGTCTGCGAGCATGTTAAAACGTGTGTGTTGATGAGTGAAGAAGTCTGTTGATTACCAAGTCCAAATGTTTGACTCATATTTTGATCTTTAATACAATTTATTGATGGGGCACTTATTATATCTTACAGAAAAGCTTCAGTCAGAGTTGCTACATCAGAATGTGGAGAATGAAGATGAAATACTCCTGTCTTTAGCTGGACTAAAGCAGGTATGTGACATCCTCATGATGGTTTACTGCTTGTCTTGGGTGCACTTTTATCTTAGGTGCACTGCATTTAATTGGTAACTCCAGACTGTTATAATTAATTGGTAACTCCCCACACTTTTATTGGTCATTTAATTGGTAACTTTAGACTAAAATATCAAATAGTTTATAGTAACTTTCACTGTCATGTCTTGTTTGAAGGTACGTGACATTCTGAAGGGAACTCTTAAATTTCAAAGAGGTCTTGAGTCAGAAGAGTTTTCTATTAGAGAAAACCACTACCAAGAAGTACATCAGCAAGCTGAGTCATCATTGGACAGAAAGAAGTCAGATGACCAATTTTCAACATCTTCATCCAATCAGAATGGGACATTCAATATGCCTGCTGTACAGCAGTTGTATGCTGGCAGCAGTGAGGATGGTTTTAGTGACAGTCCTTCCCCAGTTTTGGAGAACAAAACATTCTTGAGTGATAACCCTACTAACACACATGGGCGATACGTTATTGAACCTTCCCCAAATTTTAGAGCTGACATTGTTATGGCTGGAAGTCCACAAACTAAGAAACGCTACAGTCACGATTTTAGCCGACGCAGACACGGCAGCGGGAGAAGAAGCCACTCTGACTCAGAAGACGCTGCTGGTTTATTAGAAAGCTCAATGGAAGTACACAATCCTACTGGGAAGCTGAGTTTTGATTGGTCCTGAGATATATTTTTAAAAACTACTTTTATTGTGTTTGGGTCACAATATTTCTTTAATGTGTCATTGTACTAGTACATGTTAGCACTATTTCATGTCTGAGAGAATGATCGTTAAATATTTGTGGTTAGTTTCTTTGATTTCTATTTTCCTGACAAATTGCCAAGAAGTTAAAACCAATGAAATGTCTGTTAGAGCTTCCATTTTTACTTCATTCAAGAGGATAAATACAGGTATATTAAGATATTTATGTTGTCTGAATTATGCCAGTATTGTATGATAATCATTGTGGTATCAGTGGATATAAGATGAACCCAAAGACAAACTTCTAGTTGTCAGTGCTACTGCAATAACTTCATTTCTGGAAAAAAGGTGCTATTGCTTACACTGAATTTAGGGAAAAGTGCAACTTAACATTTTCAAATAATATTGTTTTAATTACACTAAAGTGTACCATTGTCATACTTAATTTCCAAGTAAGAGAAGGAATGAAGTGAAGAGAAAAAATGAGATGACAAGGAAGTGTTCACCACACTGGTCAAGATAAGTGAAGCCAACTTTAGAGTTTCTGAGCCGTGACCTGTGTGTATTTAGACACAACCTTCACTTTTGAAAGAAGTTACATGCCATTTCAGATGGTAAACTGGCATTATGAATATTGGTAAGTCATGCTAGAATTGGGTCATATGACATTTGTATTAAAGAAGTTATAAATGCAATCATTCACAGTATATCTTCATGAACTGATCACTGTATAGTTGTCAACATAGCAGTCCACATTCCAGTGTTAAGTCTTTTGTATTTCATATGTAAGAAAAGCAGGCTTGGTTTCCCCTGTAGCTCCCCCTAGCAGCTTTGATAGGCTTAATGCAAAAGATGCCAAAGATTGGAATTCTTAGTTTCTACCCATTTGCAATTAGACATTTATTTTTAAATCAAACTTGTACAGTGCTCAACAAAAGTTCATGAAAGTAATAAAGTTCCAATATTATTATTATTATTATACAGATTAAAATGTCAAATTCTGGATAGTGGATTGAAGGCAAATTCAGTGTACTTCAATTTAAGAGAGAACCAAATCTGTAAAAGCACCGTAAGTGATCATTGAAAATAACATGTTGTACATGGGGATGTGATCTACATCAAGTAGGATGAAGTTAGAATGCAGGAGCAATTTTCTAAACTTTTAGGGTAACTTGAGTATAGAACTGTGCAATTCATAACATCTGTGAAAATTTATATGTAAACTTATCTTTGTTCTTCAAATGTGTTTCATTTAATTTCCTTCGAGTGTTGTGATGCTTTATAAACTTTTAAGATCATTTGAAATGTTTATTGTATTTTATTGTAATTAGAATATTTTGAATGTTGTAATAGTGACACTCTGTTCAGATCATTGGTCAAATATAGACAAAATCTTCTCTCACTGGAGGTTATGTCATGGATTCTGGTTAGAAAGGTATAAGAGATCAGTTTAAAGTGGCAAACATTGGCGGGGTCATTTTATTTGCAGCGAGTTTCACAATGCTGATTTTCAACAGTTATTGTGATTGCTAAACACCCCTACAGTTCACTGAGCTATACTGCTTACTAAGTGCATACGTGATTTAAATCGAAACAATGTAAAGTTAATGCTGAGGAGTAACTTTACTTAAGTTTACAGTTAACACTCTTATGATTGTTCCTTAAAAGTATCACCATTTGTCATTTAAGGTTAATTATATTAATATATCAAGTATAATTTGTTCAAAGAATGGAATTCTGCATAGACAGAAGAGTAGAATTATGACACTAAATGCAGCAAGCTACAAACCAAATGTGCAATTTTTGTTTTCTGTATAAAACACTTTAAACAAATTAAAGGAGGAAATTTGCAAGTATTAATTTCTTGAAATTTCATACAGTATTACTCTGATGAGCAAGTGTCAGTTTCATTGTGTTTATTCTGGAAATATGATGGCTGGAAATATTGAAATATGATGGCTACACTGTGTGCAGAAATATACTGCAGACCATATGAAATCACATTTCTTCACATTTAATGGATACACTGGAAAAGAAAAATACAGATTTGGAAATGTGTGATGGTAACATTATCATAATAATTGCACAAAATACTGAACTAAAAACTTTGCAGTCTAAGTTCTTAATTCTCCCCTTCTCTGCACTTCTACTCCCACTCCATAAAGTACAGCTCTTCAGGGTGGTGGAAAATATTTGTTACAATATTTAAAATTCAACTGATATAAATAAAATTTCACTAAATAATATTGCCTTAAATATAAACAATATTCAAGCAACCAGTCATAACTACACCTGAATACATTGAATATTTCTTTGGTAACTACATTTGTCCAGCAATCCTGGTATGGCTCAACAAATGGAATGATAGACAATAAAACACATTTAAACTCTAGTCAATGCATTGCATATATTTGTTTAGAGGCATACCAGGCAGAAATTGTGGGGTGTTAAAATAAAGTTTTTTTTGTTTGTTTGTTTGTTATTTATGGACATCATTATTATTAGTTGCAGTTCATAAACTTTATAATGATTATATTCTTAAAAGAGGGAAAGTATTAAGTTGACATCATAGATGACAACGTGAGATTAAAGTTCAATTTTAATTTGCCAAGACAAATACCTAACTATGCCTAGTAAATACACATAGGATGGTGTTCTGAATGACTAAGGTGCTGTGTTTGACAAATGAGGATTAAGAAAATTGAAATGAAAGGCTAGAAAGTAAGATGGGATGTTTCACCTCAATAATTTGCCTCTTACATCTTGCCTGGTCTCTTTAAATGCCTTGGTTCCTAGCAACCCAATTAAAGACGATAGTTTAAAACTGAGATATAAAACTTCAGAATATGATCACTGAGCTGAAGAAATAATGAAAATATCTCGGTGTCCTGAGCTACCTAATATTCCACACTTTTCCACACGTTTATAATTGAATCTTTTACACTACAGAATGTTACCACTTTGTTCCACTTCTTATGATCATATTATGCCCATTCATGTTTTATAATTCAGCAAGTTCTGTTGTCCTATCTTGCAAATTAATGCCACCTATGGAGTATTTCCATCACAGTTCTGTATGTAATCCACGGCCTTGGTTCTCCTCGTCATACTTCACCACCCACTTGGACGGCTGTTCACACGTCAGCTGACCATCTGGGCAAAACCTGCGATATGTCACGTCCTGGGAAAACCCAAGAATCTCGCGCTCCTCTTGGATACGGAATGAGAAAGTGGACACATAGGAGCCAATGAAAACCCTGCAATGAACAAGCAGATTCCACACTTTTCTAAAATGTGTTGATGGAATGGCATAACAAGTCAAAAACAAAAGGCTAAGATTTACTATGATTAGCATATGTAGTAATATTTTAAAAAGTGAACCATAATTTCAGAGAATTTTTATTAAATAGCTTGTATACCACTGTGCAAAAACATGTAAAGATTCCATCACAGCTGATTGATTATAGGATCCCTGGCCAAATATGTAAAATTTTCTACATCACTATCAATGCATTACGACACTTACCTTGCGTGTGCACATATCCACTGATCTATAATAGCAATACCGCCATCTTTAAAGGACTCCAGAACCTCTTTGGTAGGAGTATATTTGACTACTTTGTAGCCCTGTAGGTACCCTTTCAGCTCCTCAAACTCTGCAAATTAAAAAAAAAAAAACATAAACATAGTGCAACTCATTACCTCCTCAGACAAGTTTAATACATGAACCATGGAGTCCTTGTAATGACCAGACAAAATTTTCTGAACTTAAAAATTGTTGTGATGAAGTTTTGTGAAATGAATGGGATAAATCACAAACCTATACCTCCTTATCATGCAAGGACAAATGGTTCTGCTAAACGTCCTGTACAAGTAATCAAGCAAGGTCTTACAGGGCATATATTTAGACAATAGGGAGGGTTCCACATTTCTGATGTAATATTGAATAACTCCACATAGTACAGTTGTGGTTAGTCCCTTTAAATTACTTCTGAGGAGTCAGATTAGGTCAAAGTTTTCTATTGTGACAGGTCTATCTAATTCAGTGGAAGCAAATCCAGCTGAGCAATTAAATACTGCCATTAGACATGTCTCAAGTTGCATCATATTTTAGCATAAAGGAGAAGGTCAAAGTTCACAATTTCAGAAAAGAAGCTGATTTCAGGATGTATTGTGAAACTTTGGGAGCATTCCCACAAATATTTGGATTGGTCTATCTCCTTGGGGAGTCTCACTAAATTGCTATCAAACTAACTGCCTTAAACGTCTGTCATGCCTAGTAAAACAGTTTGGGGGTAATTATCTTTACCCCTAGCTGATTCGGTAGGCATGACAGACATTTAAGCCTCTTGAGGTGATAGCAATTTAGCGTGAACCCCCAGGGAGTTAGGTCAATCCAGATGGATCAACCAAAGTATGGGAACCCAGTCTATGAGGACCCATTTTCTCTCACTGTGCCTTATTATTCATAGAGCACTTGGGACTGTGCTCTGTTTAAATAATATAACTTACAATGTCTTACAGTACGCATTGGGTTTACAATTATACCTGGAAACTGAGACAATTCACTATTTCATAATTTAGAAAATATATAGCCCAAAATTATATTTCTCTACTGGACATGGTGGCAATTTTGTGAAAAAATCTTTAGCCTTATTCAAACACTGCAAAAAACTAAATTGGTGTTTGACATCTTTTGATAAGAGATAACAATGACACTTAAATTAGGTTAATACAATATTTGCAAAAAAAGTTTATCATTTTTGGCACATTTCCTCACTCACAAAGATGAGAGTGAATTTATCTGTGACAAAGTTAACAGAGGCTAGGTACATATAGAAGTGGTTCTACAACATCTTATAAGCAACAGGTACTTCTTTGGCATCACTGAGTGTACAATGGGATCAATTAAATCTAAATTTCTGAAAAAAGCTTCTGCCAGGAATAGTACCAGTAGACACCAAGGAGCCTCACAAAATTACAATTTAAGTTCTTCACCAAGACCCGAAAGTAATATTTCTGACAGTACTTCACAATTATTTCATGACACATATGATTCAACATTTGAAGAAGAAAGTCTGCTAGAGGAAGACACAGAATTCCTCATTTTTAAGGATGATCCTAATGGTGTTCCAAGAAGCAGAGCCCTAACTAGCAAAAATATTCTGAAAAAAGTTGTTCACAGAAGCCAAGAGAAAAACAGAATTACCAGGTCTTTGTCTTATCCAGCCATTGCTTCCACCACAACTGAACCAGAAGTTCAATTTGCCAACCAAGGTGACTGCAGAACAACATGGAGTAGACCATCACTGCTTTCTATTACACCTAAACTAGACCACAGCACCAGATCAAGTAGCTATGCTAGCACAGCAAGTCAGACACTTTTTACTTTTCCACCTCAAAAAAATGTCAGAGTCAGCAGAGCATACAGCGACATTGGACTTCTGATACACCAGACATCCTTGGCTGAAGAACCAAACTTCCCAATATTTGCAGCATCATCTAGAGGTAAGCTTATTTTAATCATTTGGAAATTAAAATAAGTATGCCTTAATTTATTTTTTAATTAACTTATCAGCCATTTTGAAATGGCAATGACTTATAAATCCTCTTCCCCAAAACAAGTATACACGTACTAAGTTAATGATAATTGTATAAATGCAAATCATAATAGCATATGTTGTTATAGATGATGTGTCGGTCATTCTTCCACCATTCAAAAGTGTTTCATATTCCATACTTATTCAATAACAATACCCAGATATGCAAATAAAAACAGAATACAGAAAATAATGAAGTCATATACTAAAAAATTGAAACTGTAGTTGCTACAGAATGAAACTTTTTATTTCATGGCTGTAATATTTAATGAATACTTTTCGTTAATTATTTTCCCAGATAATGAGAGGCAGGAAACTTGTGTGACCCACAACTACATCACCGTGATAAACCATTCTGGATCCCAGACAAGTCTCCAAGTAGGAGATGGCAGCAACGCAGTGTATTTTGGCAGGAATGAAACTATGAATGAACTGTTATAAAAGCAAAGATGAAGCTTATTAGTCTGGTGGAAAGGAGGGGTTCACGTGCAAACAATGTATCATACCTATATTTTCTTAACCCTTGATGTGTTATTATTATTTTTTTTTTATTCCTAGGTGTTCCCAGTGTGAAAAAATGTCCCACGGGGGTAAAATTTAATGATGTGTAACACCCTGTGGCTCAAATAAGTGCATTTGATATGATGGGGGTAGGAGAAGAAAAGCATCTATAGTTTGCAATTTAAATAAGATATAACAATGGTTTATATATCATTATATAGCTGAAAGATTGCTCTAAACATAAAAGTAATAACAAGGCAGCAAAGCTGTCAAATGTACAGACAAAAAAACAGGAAATAACTATGCACAAAATAGGCTACTGTCAATTCTGATGCAAAATTTTAATGATTGAATCTGACAAACTGCAATGATATGAGTTTATTTCCGTTTTTGACACTTGATTACACAATACATGATAACAAGTTTACCATCATTTTTACATAATCAACTAATAATGTTGTAAAGATGCAGGAAATGCCAAACAAACACTTTTACGTATCTTATTAATTAAATAATGAAACTGTTAACATGCCTAAGAAATGAATCTGAGGAAATGTGAAAAAACGGCATTTCTTTGAAATAATGGCCCGATTAAGCTGATTTTTGAACTCAACCTGCGTTTTAGCAGGAATGACCACTCCTGTGAGTTTCATGACAATTGGCCCATCTGTTTTTCTTATATTGTATTTACTGTGTTGCATATATGCTGAAAAGTGAAGAAAAAAGCATAACTACTAAAACAGTGGCCCGATCATGCCGATTTTCGAACCTGACCTGCGTTATAATAAGATCGAATACTCCTGTGAGTTTCATGACAACAGGCCTATCAGTTTTCCTTGAAATGTGTTTACAGTGTTGCATATATGCTGAAAAGTTAAAAAACAGCATAACTTCCCTTAAAATGGCCCGATCATGCTGATTTTCGAACTTGACCTGCGTTTTATGAATATTCATCAGCTCTGTAAACATACAGCCAAAAAGTAAAACTGCCTTCCACTTATCATGTTTACAATGAAA